TAACACCAGTTACTACCGAGTATTTTGCCACCCATCTACTTCCCCCAATTACATTCCTTTTCCAAAGGCCCTTTTCCCTTTGTGGAGGTAGAGGTGTTTGCGGAGAGGTGCAGAAAATCGCGCGATCTATCTGTTTTTCTGCATCTCTGCGTAAGGGCATCGACCCACCACTCTGTCGAAACGAAAGAAGAATGAGTGCACCTTCCCGCCGCAGAGAATGTTGTGGCAAAATGCATCCGTTGCTATGAATAGCAACTGATGCATCTTACCACTTTCTGGGGAAGATGCGTTCATTCTTTCTCGGTTTCGACGGTGGTGTGGGGGACACGCGTCTCCGGCCGTTCGCCCCCTACACGATTTCGTCCGACGGTTTGGGGGCCCTACAGGCTGCCGGCGGGAGCACTTTTCAAAATTTGAGCGGCTGATAACGGAGATCATGCGCGTGGCTTCTGATAGCAGTAGGGCGCGGAGCGGGAGTCGGGAAAAGGAGCGGGAAAAGGAGCGGGAAAAGGAGGTAACGAGGTGGGCGGAGATGAGGAGCTGGACGCGGGGAATGAGGAGGTGAGATGAGGTGGGCGGGGATGGAGGATGGAGCCAGGTGAGGTGAATTCATGAGTTGGGGAAGAGTCTGAAGCGGAGCGCGCGCGTTATTGCGCGCTGGAGCGGTATTACAAAAATGAAAAAGAACTTTGAAAAAGTGGCTTGAAGTCGAAAGAAAACGAAATATTGAGAGAGATGAGGAGCTGGACGCGGGGAAAAAGAAGAAGTGAAAAAGAAAAGCACGGACAAAGACGAATTTCGGCGGGAGATGTGTTGAGAGAGATCGTGGGAGATATCGTGAGAGATATCGTGAGAGATATTGATTCAGCAAACGAAATAGGCATAGGCGGTAGGGGGCTTGACGGAGAGAAGACGAGTATCGGCGGGAGAGAGAGCGACTCCGGAAACAGGAGGGCGGGAGAGAGAGAGAGCGAGGCGGGAATTGTTTACATGTTTTTTTGTGTTTTGCGTACGCGGGAAGAAGCGGATTCCCCAGCTCACACAGAGATTGACAAGCGCAACGAGAGCAACACACGCTATGACGGCTTGGCGAAATCACACGGGCACAGCGAGGGCATAATTTTGGCGATAATCACGCGGGGGCGCACACACACACAGACACAGAGAGAGAGAGAGAGAGAGAGAGAGAGAGAGAGAGAGAGAGA